ACGGATTCCATCCAAGGAATGGAATGATTCGCGGAGAGATTTATGCCCTCGAACGGATCCTGCATTAAAAGACGCATCTCGAAGAATATTTGGAAAAGAAGGAAAGTAGCAAATATTTCCATAAATAAAAAAGGGCCGAAGCCCATTACGAGTTTTTGTTTAAAAAAAAAAAAATGAAGAAATTGGAGAACATTTATGGGAGAGGCTCAGGAACAGGCTCCTTCATCGCCGGTTTAGTCCTCGAAGTGGACGCCTTGTTTTTGGCATCCACTTCGGAACGATCCCGAAGGCGTTTCCGGCAGTCGCTGGCCTCCTCCTCCAAGTCCTCTTCCTCTTCATCGTCGGATGGAGTGACGAAGACGGGGGCGTTCACAGGGCCCGGGACTCCTCTAGCGCGGAGATACATCCGAAGCATCTTCGGGATCTCAGCAACGGAGTCGAAGTTCCGCCACTCCCATTGAAAGGGATCGCTTTCCAGGGCTCGTATCTTTCTTTCCACCCGGGCGATGCGAGCCTCGAGCGTTTGCCTTTTGAGGCCCAGCCGCTGCCTCTCTTCACATAAGCGACGGTGCTTGTCGGCGACCTAACAAAAAAAAAAAAAAAATGATGAAAACGAATAATATGAAGCAAAAAGTTTTTAAGTCAAAAACTTTAAGTATTTACCTTGTCAATGAAATCGCAGGCCTCTTTCTTCTCCTTCGGAGGAAAGTGAAAGACGGCGTGAGGAAAGAGAACGCCGGCCGGTTCAAAGCCGTCGCCGGATAAGAAGAGTGGACTGCCGGGATCAACGGGGGCTACTGTTTCGTTTTCCATTCTTAAGATATTTCTCAAGTGAGATTCTATAGTCATGTTTAATAAAGCCTAGAGGTAGGTAAGCCTTTATTTATAATGATTTAGGGTTTGTCTTGGAACCATAAATTCATTAATGATAGCGTGCCCAAGTGGTTTAAACCATTTTTGGAAAATCGAGGAAAGGCAATTATTACATTAAAAGACGAGCCGTTCTCTTTAAGAAGGGAAAGAGCAACCGTCGCATTAACTGCAAAAGTTTCTAAGGCCCAAGCCTGACAAGTTTACCGAGTTGACTAAACCCGAAGTGGGGAACTCGCTTTAAGCCGAGCTCAGCTCTCGCATTCTAAAGAGAAAGGTCTGATCAGCCTAAAAATCTCAAAAGCATTGCCACAAGGTCACAAAAGGTTAAAAACGGACTTTGCAAACCCGCATATAATTTTAACCAAACCCCCTTGGGTCACAACCTAGAAAGGTTTAAAAGCCTCCTCAGGCAAATATCTTGTTCAAACAGAAAATAAAGCCTCCTTAGGCAAAAATAAGTTCGAAATTAAGTCTTAAAATAAAAAGGGACAATCCCCAATTTAAAGTGGACACAGCCACTACGGAGCGATCTCCATCTCGGGCTCCTGCTCAGCAACCAGAGTTTCATTCACCTCCTTGACTGGTGCTTGCTCAGATGAAGCTCCCAGACCACCCTCCGCGGGACAACCAACCTCCGGAGTAACCTTTGGTACCATAGGAGCTACGGGCGGGACAATGCCCTCCGTCTCACTTGAACCTGGAAATAATAATTCCAGTCAATCAAAGATACAAGGTAAGAAAAGGAAAGCCTTAGGAACCAAGCGTTACCTGCCCAGTCTAAACCCGATTCACTTATTGGAGGTGATTCAGTAAAGAATGCCTCGAAGTCAAGCGGGTTGAAGGCCAAAGTGGGAAGAGCTGCCAAGCGACTCCGTTTTTCAGAAAGGTTAGTCGACAGCTCGGTCCTTTCTTGCTCCTCGGAGAAATCAGCTTCATGGATTTGGTCCAGCAGAATCAAGTTGCTTTCGTGCTCCTTGATGTCTGACTCCAAGTCCGACCTAGCCTTCTCAGTCTGCATGAATCGGATGGCCCCTTGGATCAACTCCATCCCGCGTCCCTTGACCTCTTTTCTGGCTTTTGATGCCGACCTCGCCAACTCGGAATCACGCAATTTGGCGATCGCCTTGTACTTTGCGTTGAGCTCGATGAGTTGGTTGTTCAGGGAATCAGCGTTTGATTCGGACTCTTGAAGCCTATCTTGAATACCAGAAAACTCTTCCTGGAGCTTGAAGTTCTGGTCGTACTAACCCTGCAGCTCCCCCTTTACCTGCGCAAGCTCGGATGTTAAATTGTCGACTTTGTCCTCCAGCTCGTGCTTGGAGCCGGCGGAAGAATTGACTTCGGCCTCAAGAGCAGAGAGTTTCTTTTTCCACATGTCAATCTCCTTCTCCCGTCCTAGGACCAGCCCTTCGTAATGTTCAATCATGTCGTTAAATTCGCTCTGGGCCTGGTATTATACACGAACCAAGGATTGTGAGTCAGTTCGGAGAATGGCAATGCAAAAAAAAAAAAAAGAGAGGGAACTAACCCGAGATGAGTGGTAAGCGTGAAGCAAATAGCGTTCACGAATTGCAGGGCGCCATTTGTTGAAATCTGGCAAGATCGAACCCGAACGGGTCTTGAAGCATCGGAAGACGCTGCCTTCTGTCTCCATAGCTGCGAAGAAGGAAGAATTGTAAAAATTGGAATTTTAATAAAGACAAAAAGTTTAAGCATGTGTAAATCACCAAACCTGAAAGCGATTTGACTTGAGGGACAAGAGCAGGCTTCAGCCTCGAAGAAGCATCTCGGGATTCAGAATCTCCACCTTTAGGGGATGCACTCCTAGCAGTCTTTTCGCTGACGGGCTGGGAAGAAGAAGACATGTCAACAGGACGGGGAGGACCCATTGGTTCAGTAGGAGGAGAGGATCGAGGTGAACGGTCAGTCCGAGGCCTTGATTTCTCCCTTCGCGGAGATAAGTCATCACGGGACGACTTGTCCCTCTTCTTACGAACCAAGTTCTTAAGTGGTTCGTTGCTAAAATCGTCTCGGGGAGGACGGGGAGAATCACGACGAGGAGACCGCTCTCTCCGAGGAGACCGCTCTCTCCGAGGAGAACGCTCGTCGCGACGCTCGCGGCGAGGTGTTAGCCTATAAGCAGCAACAGATCTGGCTCCCTCGGAGCTGTTGTCATCAACCAGCAGGGTTCTGCTGTAATCTTTTTTGTCAATGGCGGTCGCAAGGAACGCCTTGTTTTCATCACAAGCCTCTGCTATCGGCTTGGAGAGCTTCTTGCGCTGGGCAGCGAGGGCCCGAGCTGACATTCCCTGAGTTGGGGGAGGAGGCGGAAGACGATGAAGTAGATTGGGAGGACTCATCCTGAGTTTCCGGTTGGCCTCGATAAACCGGTCGAGGGTGAAAGAATTCCAAAGGGTTTCCCCTTCAAGGATTGCTTTGAAGAATTTGACAAATTCTTCGGTCGGGAGAGTTGAAGCGATGAAAGCTGCGAAATGAAACAATGAATTCGGTCAGTAAAAAAATAATGATAAACAATGAAGGAGTATACGACCTAGTCTCTACCAGGTTTCGCAGACCACTTCGACGGGAGTACATCGGAAAGATTCCCAATCGAAGCGGGAGTTTTCTTAATCAGAAACCAAGGATGGTGCCAGTTCTCATCCTTGTTCGGGAGGTGCGAGATGACGTTTCTATTGGCATTTGGATACGCTGAAAAGTACCCAGTTTTCTTTGATGAACTCCTTACGCTTAGGAGTTCATTCAGCTCGGGGACTCCAATGACGTAGCCGGCCTCCGCCGCAACGGTTATAATCCCGAGGATGGTTCGGAGGAGATTGGGGGTTAATTGAGGTAAAGCGATCTCGAGAGCCGCCAAGAATCGAACTAGGGCTTCAGGAAGGGGGAAGGTCAATCCGCAGCCCTTGAAGTAAATTTCGTAGACGCAAAAATAGCCAGCACGGTGGTTCTCAGGAGATTCCGTAGGGTCAGCTATTTGCGCCTCCGCTATAATTCCAGGAGGAATTTGACAAAGCCCCTTCAATCGCTCAAGGGATTGAAGAGTACAGGTGGATTTGTAATGAGGACCGGCGATGTCGTTAGGACGAGTGCACTCATCGTTACTAGAACGCCTCTCGTCGAAAGACGGAGACTCGGGTCTATCGGAATCAGAAGTCATTGGGAAGAAAGAAAAATTCAAGATCCGGCGAAGAAGGGTTTTGGTGAAGGAACGAAGAGAGAGGTTTTGATTAAAGTACAAAAGTAAAAGAAGAGAGTAATGGTGAAAAGAAGTTACCTCAAGCTAATGATGAAACCGCCTCGGGAGTTGTGTGGGAAGTGGGAAGGTTTTTCCCGTTTTAATAGTAATTAATCAATATACGGTCATAATGATGACAGATGTCACTCGGTTAAAAAAGGATAGTGCCAAAATTAAAGGAGTGATGGGATTTTCGGCGGGAAATCAGAAAGATTCTCGAGCGCAATCTTTGGCCACTTGAGCATTTAAAGTCCTCCAAACTGGAATAGCACTTCGAAGAACTTGGGGGGCTAATTGTTGGTGTCGGATCCCGCACCAGAAGTACGAGACCAACCAAAGATTGCCACGTGATCAAGATAATGGCCCATAAAGGATGAAGCCCATTGGACCCGTGAGCCAAAGGGACGGTCGAAGTGGTTGTCACCATTTCGAGAATCCGAAGTGACTACACTGTGCCACGAGTTCGGTGTAGAAGACACGGGTAAGTCGGTTCACGGACACTTGGGCCGAAAGAGGCGAGGCCCATGAAGATCAGAGTCAACACAAATTCAAACGTTGAGCATTAAAGCCGAAGAATCGAAACGGACACATTTAAGAAGAAATAATTGTGCTTAATTACTCATTTTAATGTCGTTTATCGGTGTATAAATATAGAGGCCGATGGCCATGTAAAGGGGATCTTCCTCTCAAGAGAGAAATAATATAGCAATTTTCATATCAATTTACAAGTTTTTACGCATTCATTTTTGTCCCTCAAGAATAATCTTTCCCACTTAACAAAATACTTGAGTGTGCGAATCCGACTTCCACAAATGCTTTATGAAATAATTGTGGTTCACATTTCTAACTTAAATTCATATTCTTTTTTATGCAGTTTGATATTAAACATATCATTGGCGATCCTGAACAATATTCTCATTTGGTTCTCCCCCCAAATCCAGAAGACAAGGACTGGTTTGAAGTCTTTGACCTTGTAGTCCAAGGTTATAGGATGACCAGGCAACAATGGATTCATGGTTGGATTGAGGTTGCAGAATGGAAAACGCAAAAGCCTGTGAATCAGCCTAGACAAAGGCAACCAAAGTCTGAGACTGTAAATCAGACAAAACCAAGGAAATCAATGTCTGATAGTGAAACACTAGAATTGATCTACAAGGCATGTTTAGAATTGAACAAGAGAATGTTGGTGGTGGAGAAACATTTAGGGATCAAAGAACCTGATGCCAGGGATGATGAAGAAAAGGAATTCCCAGCTTCGTCAAGTGGAGTTGTAAGTGGAAACAAAACGATATCTTTTTAAATATATCTTTGATCTATAGGATGGTCAAATTTGATTATGTTTAAATATATTTTTGGTGTTACAACAGAACAAAAAGACTGAAGAAGAGTTTATAATTGTCTCTGATGATGAAGAAGAGGTTGAAATACCAATCAACAATCAAGAAAACAAACAAACAGAGACCAGAGAAGAATCATGCAGTCCACCTGATGAAGATTCACACGAAAATGTGAATGATGAAAAGGTATGTAACTAAATGAATCTGATTGGTTTTTATAAAGAATATCTTTAGTGATTTAAAATGTCTTTTAAATTTATAGGTTGCTCAAGAAGAGGGAGCCACGGATGAGGTTCCACATGCTAATGAAGAAAACGATCCACAATGCTCGAATGTCAATGATAAGGTATGCTTTAGAAGAGATTTACAACGTTTTTAAAGGATTTTACAACTTATTTAAAAGTTTCTATAAAAAATTTACAACCTATTTTAAACTATTTATAGGTTTCTCAAAAAAAGGAGAAACAACATGAAGAGATGAGAAACATGGATGGGGCTCCACAGGGAACTCAAGAAAGTGATTCACAACGATCAAATGTGAATAATAAGGTATGCATTAATGAAAAAAGTTTTTTGTAATGTTTACAACATTTTTTAAAGGATTTTACAACTTATTTATAGGTTGACAAATGTTTCTACAACTTATTTATAGGTTGCTCAAACAAAGGAGGCACAACATAACAAGATGGGACACTCAGAGGAGCCGTCACAAGAGAGTGATTCACAACAATCGAAAGTGAATGATAAGGTATGCATTAGTTAAATCATAATAATTTACAAAATTATTTTACAACGTTTTTTACAAGGTTTTAGTACGTATTTAAATGATTATAATAAGACGTTTTCATGGTCTTCTGTGTTTTGCTAATTTATTTCTCTAGGAAGAAGAAGCTCGGCTAAAGAAGGAACATTCAGGTACACCATTATTTTTTTTTGTTAAAAATGATGTTTTTTTTAATAATAAAATGGAACATCTAATATTTTCATGGTGTCATTTACTGTCCAAGATCGAAAACTAAGTGAGATACAACAGAAGGAAATTGATGATAGGGTCATACTCTGGGCTAAAAACAAGAACTTCATTTTTATGATGTCATCACTTCACCAGGTAATCTTATAATAATTTGTTATTTTTCTCATAACTACAAAAACTAACGAAATTTATTATACATTACAGATTATTTGGTCCAATAGTTCATGGGAGACTGTTCATCACTTCAATTTGGTAAACAATGACAATGAGATAGGTTTAGCAAAACGTAAAGCACTGCTTGCTTTACATCCAGACAAACAACATGGAGCTAGCGCCGAACAGAAGTATCTGGCAACAAGACTTTTCAGCGTAATAAAGGTTAGTTTAAAACAGTTTTTCAAAATAAATGCGAAAACAATTTTTTTATGTTGAATCGTTACTTATTGCTTTTTTATTAATTTATTTTGCAGCAACAATGGGATATCTACATCAGGAAAAAGCAAGTGTGAAAGAATGTAGTTAACATAAGTTCCTTTCTTATTGTAGTTATCTTTTTAAACCAGTATGTTATTTTGTAAAACAGTGATAACGAATGTGTTTATGGAACAGTTTATTAGATGAAGAATATTGTTAACTATTGCAATTTATATCCAGCTTGTTTCAAAGTGTTATAAAGGGTTTTACAAGGGTTTTTATAGGTTAATACGTTTTTACAAGATTTTTATAAGGGTTTTACAAGAGGTTTTAAAGTGTTTTATAGGGTTTTACAAGGGTTTTTGTAGGTTAAAAGGTTTTTACAAGAGTTTTTATAGGTTAATACAAGTGTTTTATAAGGGTTTTACAAGGCTTTAAAAGATTTATGATGTTATTTCTATAAGAAGGTTTTAAGGTTTTTACAATGGTTTTTAAAGTTTTTTAAAGGGTTTTACAAGGGTTTTTATAGATTTAATACGTTTTTACAAGGGTTTTATGATGGTTTTAATAGAGATTAACAAGTGTTTTTAAAGTGTTTTACAAGGCTTTTTGTAGGTTAAAAGGTTTTTACAAGAGTTTTATAAGGTTTTACAAGGTTTTTTAAAGTTTTTTAAAGGGTTTTACAAGGGTTTTTGTAGGTTAAAAGGTTTTTACAAGAGTTTTTATAGGTTAATACAAGTGTTTTATAAGGGTTTTCAAAGGCTTTAAAAGATTTATGATGTTATTTCTATAAGGAGGTTTTAAGGTTTTTACAATGGTTTTTAAAGTGTTTTACAAGGCTTTTTGTAGGTTAAAAGGTTTTTACAAGAGTTTTATAAGGTTTTACAAGGTTTTTTAAAGATTTTTAAAGGGTTTTACAAGGGTTTATGTAGGTTAAAAGGTTTTTACAAGAGTTTTTATAGGTTAATACAAGTGTTTTATAAGGGTTTTACAAGGCTTTAAAAGATTTAAGATGTTATTTCTATAAGGAGGTTTTAAGGATTTTACAATGGTTTTTAAAGTTTTTTAAAGGGTTTTATAAGGGTTTTACAAGGGTTTTTATAGGTTAATACGTTTTTACAAGGGTTTTATGATGGTTTTAAAAGAGGTTAAAAAGTGTTTTTAAAGTGTTTTACAAGGCTTTTTGTAGGTTAAAAGGTTTTTACAAGAGTTTTATAAGGTTTTACAAGGTTTTTTAAAGTGTTTTAAAGGGTTTTACAAGGGTTTTAAAAAGATTTTATATAGATCTTACAAGTGTAACAACTTTTTGAAAACGTAGTAACACCTTTCTCCAAGAATAAACGTAAAAAAGGTTTTATAACAAGTTATGAAAGTTTTTCAATAATATTTTTTTAAAAAGTCACAAAATACTTAATATGTTATGTAATAAAATAAAGTAAAAACTATATTGGAGCCACACAACTACTTTTGTTGTGTCCATTTTGACCACACCGACGACATTTGTAATTTGTTGCAGATTTTCCATACTCCCATCCACTAGGTATTCTCTTTTTCTTAGGCCTGCCACTAGGAACACGAGAAGATGGTGGTCGACAAACAAAAGCAGCAACATCGGCTTGATAATTTGAAAATTAATATTCTTTTTTATGCAGTTTGATATTAAACATATCATTGGCGATCCTGAACAATATTCTCATTTGGTTCTCCCCCCAAATCCAGAAGACAAGGACTGGTTTGAAGTCTTTGACCTTGTAGTCCAAGGTTATAGGATGACCAGGCAACAAAGGATTCATGGTTGGATTGAGGTTGCAGAATGGAAAACGCAAAAGCCTGTGAATCAGCCTAGACAAAGGCAACCAAAGTCTGAGACTGTAAATCAGACAAAACCAAGGAAATCAATGTCTGATAGTGAAACACTAGAATTGATCTACAAGGCATGTTTAGAATTGAACAAGAGAATGTTGGTGGTGGAGAAACATTTAGGGATCAAAGAACCTGATGCCAGGGATGATGAAGAAAAGGAATTCCCAGCTTCGTCAAGTGGAGTTGTAAGTGGAAACAAAACGATATCTTTTTAAATATATCTTTGATCTATAGGATGGTCAAATTTGATTATGTTTAAATATATTTTTGGTGTTACAACAGAACAAAAAGACTGAAGAAGAGTTTATAATTGTCTCTGATGATGAAGAAGAGGTTGAAATACCAATCAACAATCAAGAAAACAAACAAACAGAGACCAGAGAAGAATCATGCAGTCCACCTGATGAAGATTCACACGAAAATGTGAATGATGAAAAGGTATGTAACTAAATGAATCTGATTGGTTTTTATAAAGAATATCTTTAGTGATTTAAAATGTCTTTTAAATTTATAGGTTGCTCAAGAAGAGGGAGCCACGGATGAGGTTCCACATGCTAATGAAGAAAACGATCCACAATGCTCGAATGTCAATGATAAGGTATGCTTTAGAAGAGATTTACAACGTTTTTAAAGGATTTTACAACTTATTTAAAAGTTTCTATAAAAAATTTACAACCTATTTTAAACTATTTATAGGTTTCTCAAAAAAAGGAGAAACAACATGAAGAGATGAGAAACATGGATGGGGCTCCACAGGGAACTCAAGAAAGTGATTCACAACGATCAAATGTGAATGATAAGGTATGCATTAATGAAAAAAGTTTTTTGTAATGTTTACAACATTTTTTAAAGGATTTTACAACTTATTTATAGGTTGACAAATGTTTCTACAACTTATTTATAGGTTGCTCAAACAAAGGAGGCACAACATAACAAGATGGGACACTCAGAGGAGCCGTCACAAGAGAGTGATTCACAACAATCGAAAGTGAATGATAAGGTATGCATTAGTTAAATCATAATAATTTACAAAATTATTTTACAACGTTTTTTACAAGGTTTTAGTACGTATTTAAATGATTATAATAAGACGTTTTCATGGTCTTCTGTGTTTTGCTAATTTATTTCTCTAGGAAGAAGAAGCTCGGCTAAAGAAGGAACATTCAGGTACACCATTATTTTTTTTTGTTAAAAATGATGTTTTTTTTAATAATAAAATGGAACATCTAATATTTTCATGGTGTCATTTACTGTCCAAGATCGAAAACTAAGTGAGATACAACAGAAGGAAATTGATGATAGGGTCATACTCTGGGCTAAAAACAAGAACTTCATTTTTATGATGTCATCACTTCACCAGGTAATCTTATAATAATTTGTTATTTTTCTCATAACTACAAAAACTAACGAAATTTATTATACATTACAGATTATTTGGTCCAATAGTTCATGGGAGACTGTTCATCACTTCAATTTGGTAAACAATGACAATGAGATAGGTTTAGCAAAACGTAAAGCACTGCTTGCTTTACATCCAGACAAACAACATGGAGCTAGCGCCGAACAGAAGTATCTGGCAACAAGACTTTTCAGCGTAATAAAGGTTAGTTTAAAACAGTTTTTCAAAATAAATGCGAAAACAATTTTTTTATGTTGAATCGTTACTTATTGCTTTTTTATTAATTTATTTTGCAGCAACAATGGGATATCTACATCAGGAAAAAGCAAGTGTGAAAGAATGTAGTTAACATAAGTTCCTTTCTTATTGTAGTTATCTTTTTAAACCAGTATGTTATTTTGTAAAACAGTGATAACGAATGTGTTTATGGAACAGTTTATTAGATGAAGAATATTGTTAACTATTGCAATTTATATCCAGCTTGATTCCCAGTGTTATAAAGGGTTTTACCAGGGTTTTTATACGTTAATACGTTTTTACAAGATTTTTATAAGGGTTTAACAAGAGGTTTTTAAAGATTTTTAAAGGGTTTTACAAGGGTTTATGTAGGTTAAAAGGTTTTTACAAGAGTTTTTATAGGTTAATACAAGTGTTTTATAAGTGTTTTACAAGGCTTTAAAAGATTTAAGATGTTATTTCTATAAGGAGGTTTTAAGGATTTTACAATGGTTTTTAAAGTTTTTTAAAGGGTTTTATAAGGGTTTTACAAGGGTTTTTATAGGTTAATACGTTTTTACAAGGGTTTTATGATGGTTTTAAAAGAGGTTAAAAAGTGTTTTTAAAGTGTTTTACAAGGCTTTTTGTAGGTTAAAAGGTTTTTACAAGAGTTTTATAAGGTTTTACAAGGTTTTTTAAAGTGTTTTAAAGGGTTTTACAAGGGTTTTAAAAAGATTTTATATAGATCTTACAAGTGTAACAACTTTTTGAAAACGTAGTAACACCTTTCTCCAAGAATAAACGTAAAAAAGGTTTTATAACAAGTTATGAAAGTTTTTCAATAATATTTTTTTAAAAAGTCACAAAATACTTAATATGTTATGTAATAAAATAAAGTAAAAACTATATTGGAGCCACACAACTACTTTTGTTGTGTCCATTTTGACCACACCGACGACATTTGTAATTTGTTGCAGATTTTCCATACTCCCATCCACTAGGTATTCTCTTTTTCTTAGGCCTGCCACTAGGAACACGAGAAGATGGTGGTCGACAAACAAAAGCAGCAACATCGGCTGGAACCTCCCATTGTGTCCTATCACCAACGGGATATATACTCTCTGAATATGCTAGCGTCCAACTGTCAAACAAAGATGTAATTTTTAAAAATTGTAAGAGTTTTCAAAGGTTTGCAAGACAATCAGAAGGTTTTTTTAGGTCTTACAAGGTTTTTAGAGGTTGAACAAGTTTTTACAAGACATGATAAGGGTTTCACAATGTTTTTATAATATTTTACAAGGTTTTTTGATGATTTTGATAAGAAATTGATTTACAAGGTTTTTAATGGTTATAAAAAATTTTAAAATACAGTTTTATAACTTGTTTTATATAGTAACATACCTGTAAAGTTAGAATATGACATACCTTTTGTTGGAGTATAAGGTATCAACATAATCATATTCGTTAAGATTAATATGTTTTGCAGCCGCTATTGCATGAGCACACGGGATTTTCGTGATATTGAACACACAACACGTGCAGTCTCTTGTTTCCAAATTCACAACATGAACCAACGTACCTCCTTTCACTTCAAACACGTGTTGATTCACTTGTGACACTTCAAGCCAGCGTGCAGTAGAATCATACAGTGTCTTTACTTGCTTCATCACATTCACAGTAACTGAATGCCTATTACGAGTACCCTTCTCATGTCGTTCATTGAACCATCTGGTAAGAGTAGACCTAATTGTATCAAACAAACAGACAATTGGATACTCACGGCTTTCTTTCAACAGAGAATTCAAAGACTCAGCTAAGTTTGATGTCATAATGTTGTATCGATTGGCAGGTGCACAAGCACGTGACCATTTTTTGACATCCAAATCCCACAGATACTGTGCCATCTTGTTGTCAGCAAGAGACAGTTCATGGAACAACTGTTCAAAATCAAACCTTGTGTAAGCATAAGCTGCATCTTTCATAACTGGAATAAGCGTTGAGGATGACTTAAACCCAGTCTCAAGGTTTTTCTCCAAATGAAAAATGCAGATCCCATGATGAGCAAGTGGATAATTAACAATAAGAGCATTGGCAATTGATGATGCACGATCTGACACAAAAACTAAATCAGGTTCATCCGGGATAATTTTCTTCAAACACTTCATAAACCAGTCCCACGAAGCATCATTTTCTGAATCAACTACGCCAAATGCAATAGGATACAAATGAAAGTCACCATCTTGTGCTGAGGCACCAAGCAAAGTCCCTTTAAAATTTGATTTCAAATGAGCACCGTCAATACAAATCACTTTTCTCATCAACTTAAACCCTCTAATTGACGGACCAAAGGCAAGAAATGCGTACTTAAATTTGTTGTCAGGATCGACCTCAATGAAGGTTGCAGAACCAGGATTCTTCTCATTTACCATGTACATCCACATTGGCAAGAACTCATAACCATCTTCAGGTGTACCCCTAGCAACATCGATTGCATGATCTTTAGCTCTCCACGCTTTTGAATAAGAAACTCCAATCCCATTGTCGTGTCTGAATTTTTCTATCAGTTGTTTAGGTTTAAGCGCAAGCTTCTCTCCACGAAAATGATTACTTACCATTTCTCCTAATGTCCTAGCAGTTGCTTGGCGATGATTAACCTTCCTTAGCGAAGAATCACAACAGTGCTCACTAACATACTTTTTAATAATAAAACTATCTGATGCCTTAACCCTAGTTGCACGTAACCTCCAACTACATTTTTCATCAATGCAACGAAGAGTATACCGTGTTGAGTCTGATTTCTTAGTCCGGAACTCGAAGTTATTCTCCATTGCAAATAACTGCATCTGCCTTCCCATTTCCTTTTTGTCCTTGAACAACTTTCCACAATACAAAGTATTTGAAGATGCAGAAATAGTAGAACCACCTACAGGAGCTGAACCTTCATATATATTAGAGAAGGATTCCGTTTCAGTTATAACCCTCTCCGGGATGGTTGAGTCAAATCCCATCTGCAAAAGCAAAAAAAATTTGGATTTGAATTGTTTTACAAGGTATTTTAAAAGGATTTACAAGTTATTTTAAAAGGTGTACTAAAAAGGGTTTTTAAAAGGGTTTTACAAGGTTTTTTAAAAAGATTTTTTACTGATTTTCAAAGAATTTGTAAGGGAATTGAAAATACCTCATTCATGACATGACATGCAGGAGCTGAAACAAAAGTTATAGGAGCAGGGTTTGCAGAATACATTTGTACCTGTAATATACTTTTTGCAAATTTACAAGTTATTTTGAATCTTCGTTAACTTATTTACAAGCTATTTTAATGATTTCTTTACTAATTTACAAGGTTTCTTTACTGTTTTACCTCATTCATGACTTGATATGTAGAATAAGGATCTGTATTGCTCTCATTACTAATTGAGATGTTGCTTGTCCCCATCATTGGATTACTGCTTGTTTTCCCCTGTAAAGATAATTAAAACTGTTTACAAATTTGTTAAACCAGTTTACAAAATTGAATGTTGGTAAAATACCTTCTCAACAGTTACACATAGCTGAATACCGCCTCTGAATTCCGCAAGCTTTTTCATAAATGCTTGCACTTGCCTATCATTTCTAATATACATAGGAGGCATGTCTTTTGTAGAGGGTAATGAATAACTGAGTTTCACTATATTAATACCGACATCAATTCCAAAATCTTCTATAACAATAGCACACAAATCAGTGAAACACGTATCCTCATTGATAAAAGTAAGAGACCCTCCTCTTTCAACATCAAATTTAAAATCCCAACAATTGTTATTTTTCAGTTTCCAAACACCAGATATGCAATTCAACTCAATCATTACGACCTGATAAAAAAGATAATGTATTATAATGTTAAACATATGTATCTTTATGATAGTTCACAAGGTATTTATAAAGTTCTTCATGGTTTTACAATATTTTTTAAAGGTTTACAATCTTCACAAAAAACACGGTAAATCAAAATTATTTCACTAATAGTGTACAATAGTTACTGAAGAACATAAATACAGTGAGAAGATGAAGAAGAAATTTTTACAATGGTTTTAGAAAGTTTTTAAAGGTAACACGAATTATAATTTTCAAGCAAGACAAATTCGAGAAAATAGATAAACACAGAATCGAAGCTCTTAATTAATCAATTCAGATTTGAAGACGAAATCGATGAACTTTTGGATCTAAACGGTTCAGATTTCAGAAGCGATTCGAACCTAATTGATGCAGATTGGGATGAGTCACAGATTTTTGATTACAGAATCGATTGATCCTCGTCGATTGAACTCGATTGAACTCGACGGATCTAAGATGAAGATATCGACGGATCTAAGATCTCATCACCTTTTGTTCGTCGGCTGTGAAGGTGACGAGAGACGCCGAGATTTTTGTTCGTCGTTCCCCAGTTTTCTCTTCTTCAATTTGGTTCCTCAATTGGTCAATTTGGTTACTCATTAAGGGTAAAATAGTCAATTTCAGGGAAGCTATTAGGGAGGGGGTATTTTTGAAAAGGGGTATTAAAAAGGGGGCATTTTTGTGAGTCCCCCTATTTTATATAATTATTATGTTATCATCTATATATGTTTTTTTTTTACACTTTTATTGACTAAAAATCCTTACACATGTTAATTACAATAAATTCTAATTTTTTAACAAAAGCATTAACTCGATTTTTTAATATTTATTTAAAAAGTCTGTGTATTTTTGCATGCATTTTCAATTTATTTGCATGAATTTATATATTTAATTTTTAATTGTTACAATGCATTAATATTGTAGTTAATAAATAAATATATTAATACCAAACTTTCATAACTTAATAATATCTGAAAGTAGTGCATTCAACAAGAACAAAAGAAACTTTAACAAGTCAACAATCTAAAAAGTTAAATAAGTCACACATACACAATCTTGTCATTCGGCCAAACCACTAGTGTGCCTATTGCATCAGATATGAATTTCACTTCTGAACTTGGTCTCCATACTTTTGCATCATCAATCTTTGAAACGTCAACCCAGACCTTGCTAGCATTGGGACCTATGGGTTTGAAATGCAGTAAAGCTGCAGGATCAGTGGAACAAACTCTGCCCTCTGCAACAGTTTTACCAGAGTTTTTGCAATCCAAGAGGATGCACTTCTTCTTTACTCCTTTGCTGGAACCAGAGTTGGTACTTGTATTCTACCACAACAATAACATATTCATCAGATATTCATCATTAACTACAATACACATGCATCAAAACAACACCAAAACTTACCCAGGCGATTTCCTCACTGAATCATCCCCTGCATTTTGAGTGATGATTTCTATCTTATTAATTGGCCATGGGACTTCTTGATCGAGTGCATCAGAGATCACAAGTACTGTAGCTGATGGCCTCCACACATAAGACGCAGCCTTCACAATAAGGTCAATCTTCACAATGGCAGCATTTTTACCAAGGGGAATGTTGTCGACCATTTCGGCAGGATCAGTGGAACATAAAACACCCTCAGCAATAACTTCACCATGAGAATTCCAATCAAAAACTTTTCATCTTTGAATTGACTCATCTGATCTTGTCTCCTAAGTGATTCATATATATTAGCATCTACAATTTAGCTTCCAAGGTGTGAAAATAAAGTAATTAAAGTCTATAAATATTACCTTGGGATCAGAAGTTCTATTTGGACTTTTTTGGTAGTTGTCATCCAAAATCACCTTATCAGCTTGCCAAGGAATTTTGAGTCCCACAGCTTCCCCAAGTGAGAACATGGTTGGGGTAGGCCTCCACAATGGTGAATCTTTGTCTGTTACAGATTTGACAACAACAGCTGCCGCATTGGGACCAAGTGGAATGCGACCAATCTTGTATGCTGGATCAGCAGAGCAGAATTCTCCTTCCCCGACAATAACATCTTCTGTTGAACCCCATTCAAGCAGCTGACACCTAACTCCTCTACTGACATCACTAACCTCATATTGAGCTCCCATAGTTTCAGAGTGTTTCTGACCAGAAGATAGAGAATTGTTAGTTAATTGTGCTTCTTCAAATGGCCTCATATATAGAAAAATTAGCACACTTACCCTTTTTCCAGCTAAGTCATTGACTACACTTTTCAGGTCTAGAATCTGGCTAAGCAATTCGGCTTGTTTTGCTTCAAGATTTTGCACATGTGTGTCTCTAGCCTGTAGGAATGCTAGTTTGGTTGCAGTAATCCCTCTTCCCAAACCTCTAATTCTCCCAGGTCTATCTTTCCCTAAAACTTGACTGACAGCATCTTCACTTATGTTATCATTGGCTGTGGACTCCATTTGACTATCGATTGTTTTTATTTGTTCCTGAGACACACATATATATATATATATATATATATATATATATATATATCAACAAATAATGTCTAATCTTTTGTAATGGAAACAAGAGTACAATTTGGTAAGTTCTTACAATAGTCTCTACGAATTCAGGCTTCACAGGTCTTCCATCCTTGTGAGTGTGTCCTGCTATCCATACCTTACTTCGAGTCACCTTTTTTGGGTCTGAACTCTTTTTTTTCTACAAGTAGTACTAACATAAGTGATACAACATATGCTTATTCTATATATACAGATAAAAAAATCAACCAAAAGACACTAACCAAATCTATAAATACAGAGAAAGACACTATACAAATCTATAAATACAGAGAAAGATACTAACCAAATCATGTGCCAGTCGAAACATTCCTTTGCGGCTAGTGGTGTGTGGAATCTGAGCCCTCCTCAAGTTCCTGTATCTCTCACTTTTCTCCTACAAAATCAATCCACAACCAGACATACATGTATTTAATCTGCTCAGTTAATACATTTATCACAAACTATTTGATAAATAAAACAAGAGTGCACCTTAAACTCTGTACTAGTCTTGCTCTTAACCCAATTGTTCCACTTCCCAAGAGATTGGATGTTGCTTGGTTTAAGCCTTAATCGCTCTGCGTGACTTCCCGCCTCTCGAATTTGGCCCACAAGTTTAGATTTAGATGCCCTCCACACACAACCCATCTGCTTAAGAACAGCATGTTTTTGCCACTCCTCTTGCAAATTAAACCTCCCCTATAATAAATGTGAGGTTACATGACAGTGATACAAAGTAATGAATGAGAAATATTGAAGATAAAAACACTTTACCTGAATTTCCTCCCACATTGTGTCCTTTGTTTGTTCATCGAGTTTCCTCCAATCATCGAGTAGTACTGTAACATGCTCCATCACCAGAGAACCAAGGAATGATGAAAGTGTTACTGATCCAGAACCGCAATGTTCACCAAGGGAAGTAAAATCTACCTCAACCTTCGAAAGCGGGTCTTTTGCGACTTTACGCATTTTTGTCTGTCCCCTAGTTCTCTTTGTGGTCGACTTAGACTTCTGGGGTGAGCCTCCTCCAGTGGAAGCATCCACAGTTTCACCTTCAGCAGGCTGGGAAGGTTCTCCACCTCCAGCAGGCTGGGACTGTTCTCCACCTTCAGCAGGTTCTTGATCATTTTCTCCATCAACTCCACGCTGTTCTTTGTCAGAGTCTACCTCTAATTCTTCATCTTCTTTTTCTCCTTCGGCCATTACAGGTTCATCTTCTTCTCCTGCAGCTGCTTCATCCATTTCTACTTGACCATCTTCTTTTTCTCCTTCAGACATTGGTTTTTCAACATCTCTTACAGAACTTTGCTCTTCTCCTCCAACAGCTGTACTCATTGGTTCCTCCACAACTTGATCATCTGATTCCAAACTAATCACCTCTCGAACTTCCTTTTTCTTAGACTTTTTTGAAATTTTCTTCACAACGACAGGAGTCACACCTCTTCCTGCCTGACGGTTACTGCGGCGGAGATTTCCTCCTCCTCTTGTAATTGCCATGACTGATCCTGAAACAAAATCAACAATAAATATTCCACATTAATTCTGGTACTCAATGTTTTATTTCAAAATATAGTTGTAGCTATTAATCTTCCACTAGCACTCCATCACAGTCATCCCTAACACAATAACTCTCATCATCAGACTACTGGTTCCCCAAATCTTCAACTTGCTGGTCAAACACTGGTGCTGCGACAAACTCTTCCTCTGTTTCTAGCTCATGATATCCTCTAGGTGGCGCCCTCATAACTACATACCATGGAGAAGATTCATTTTCTCTAGAGTAAAACACTTGTTTTGCTTGCGATGGCAGTATGTATGGATCTCGGAGAAACGCTGTCTGCTTAAGATGAAGGTTGACAATAGTAAATCCTTCTTCTTCCTTTACACCATTCCCTGTGTTAGCCCAACTGCACTTGAATAGAGGAACATGGAACATGTGGTAGTCCACCAGAATGATCTCCTTGATCACTCCATAATATGTAACTACATCCGCCATCTGTTTACTATCGCGTGCACTTGCTCTACACATAGAAAAGGCTTCATATGTGACTCCACTATTTTGAGTCTCCCGCTTAACATCATCAGTGTGGAATCGATGTCCATTTATGACAAAACCCTTATGGCTTTGAGCAATATGTCTTGGTCCAAATGTCAGCCACCTCAGCTTCTTAGAGTGAGCCTCTGAGTTAGAAGGTATCTACAATTTGAAAATGCAGAGTTAGTTGCAGCCACAAATGAGGCTGATTAAATCAAAACTTATGGCCTTGCATATTGAAAAATAAAGATCATACCTTTTCCTTTACCCACTGTGCAAACCTTTCTGTATGAAATTTCCATAATAAAGTTTCATTTCTTGCACATCTGACATCGTTAGCTTGCAATTCTTCTAAATGCATCCTGTATATCAAGATTTAGCAGTTAATTTTCATGAATAAATATTGCATGACTATATAAATTATAAATAGAACTAAACTTACTGAACATATGGCTCCATAACTGATGTGTTCATTAACACATACAGATGGGCTATATCTCTCTCTTTATCTGAAAGTTTAATTTCAGTAGCCTTCTGCAGTGGGCGACCCTCAAGGATAACATCATCAGACTCGACATCTTCATTTCGTTTTACTGCTTCTTCCACAGGTGCAGAATTCTTTAAAAAGTCTAAGCAGAAGGCTATGCATTCTCCAGCCAAGTAGCCCTCAGCCATACAAGCTTCTGGCCTTGCATAATTTTTGACATAACCTTTAAGTGTCTTCATATACCTACAACTCAATCACAGAACAAAATGTTACTAATTAAGCAGACAACTAATAGACACAGAAGATAAGAAAGTATAGTACCTCTCAAATGGATACATCCAACGAAAGTGTACCGGTCCACCCAAACGTGCCTCCCTTGCTAGATGTAGAGGAAGATGGAACATGATGTCAAATAGTGATGGAGGGAAGAACCGCTCCAGTTGGCACATTGCTTCCACAATCTCAGTCTCCAATGATAAAAGCATCTCTGTGTCAATCACACACTGGCATAATCTGTTGAAGAAGTTGCATACTCGAGTCACAGCAATCCTAGGCCCTTTTGGCAGCAAGCCTCTCAAAGCCACAGGAAACAGATTTTGCATTAGCACATGATGATCATGCGACTTGAGACTACCAATGCCAGGAGGATTCACTGACACACAATTCGCGATATTCGCACAATATCCATCAGGGCCTCTGAACTTAGATAACCTTAGGCAAAATTTTCTCTTCTCTTCTTTTGACATCCAATAAGCCGCTGGAGGCAAGTAAGTTTTCTTTCCCCTTGATTCAGTATGCAAGTGTCTTCTTATTCCCATATCTTCCAAGTCTTTTCTGGCCTTCAAGCCATCTTTAGATTTAGCATTATGCATCATAGTGGACAACAAACCGTCAGACACGTTCTTTTCAACATGCATGACATCAATGTTGTGGCGAACCGGCAAATCCTAACACATGATAAAGAAGACTTTCAGCATATACATAATTTTTTAACAGTTTACTCAATTGTAATTAATATAGTAAACCAAATACTAACCTTCCAGTAAGGTAAAAGGAAGAGTATGGACCTTTTCTTCCATCTCCATTGATCACTGTCTTCTCCGTACTCTTCCTCTGAAGTAACCGCATCTCCCGCTCTCTTCCTCTTACTTTTCTTATCCAAAGTTCTTCCAAAATCATTCTTGAAATCTTTAAGTATCTCAGCAATCTCTGCCCCAGTCTGAATTCTATTAGCTGTCCCATTCTCCACAGTGTTGTCAAACCATCCTTTTTTGCGCCTGTACGGATGTCCAGGCCTGAGCCTCTTCCTATTGCCCAAATAGACATATTTGCTACTAAACTTCAACCACCTCCTAGGTGTGTCCTTTCCACAAACAATACAGGCTTGTTTCCCCTAAACCTTACATCCAGACAATGTCCCTAAGGCTGGATAGTCACTGATACTCCACAACAACAAAGCTCTAAGTGTAAACTTCTCTTTCATAAAGGAGTCATAAACCTCCATACCTTCATTCCATAAATCTATCAAATCCTCTATCAGCGGTGCTAGATAAACATCGATGTTGTTGCTTGGTGCAGTTGGACCAGGGATCAACAGCGTCAACATGATGTTCTCGGCCTTCATACACATGGTTGCAGGCGTGTTGTAGTTGACTAATAAGACTGGCCATGTACTGTATTTGGTATTCTGCATAGAGAAAGGGTTCATTCCATCTGTAGATAAATCGAGTCTTAGGTTTCTCGGTTCTGCAGCAAACTCTGGCCACTTATTATTGACCCGTGCCCATGTAATAGAATCCACTGGATGTCGCATTATACCATCTTCACTACCATTGTTGAAATGCCAACGCAAATCCTCAGCCATTCTTTTTGATCTAAACATCCTTTTCAATCTGTCCTTGATTGGAAAATACCGAAGGACCTTTGCTGGAATCCCCTTCTTTTCCTCACCACTTCGTTTATCAATTTCCCATCTTGATGCACTACATCTTGGGCAGCTTTCCATCTGAGCATAGTGCTTCCTATACAGTATACAGTCGTTCTTACATGCGTGAATGAGATCGTAACCAAACCCAAAAACCTTCAAGAACTTTTTCATCTCAGAAGTGGACTTTGGAAGCACATTATCTTCTGGCAACATGTCTTTAATTGTGGTCAATAGCTGATCAAAGAAGTTCTCTGACATACCACTCTTCACTTTGATGTGGTAAAGGACTGTTATTGCAGAAACCTTGTTGTACTTGTGACACGTAGAGTAGAGTGGAGTTTCAGCCTCCTCTAACTTCTCCCTAAACTCAGATTCTTCTGGATTCTGCCACTCCTTAGATGGTTGTTCAGCTCTTACTTCAGACTCAAAAAAAGCTGTCCTCATCAAGTCATAAGCCTCTTCCTCTGTAGTTGGAACTTCAGCAGATGTTCTGTCCCTCCTGTCCCCATGCTTACTCCAACATGGATTCCTCTTGTACTTCAAATCCATACCCCTAATCACTAGATGATCCAATACAGTCTCTATCAACTGATGACAAACATTTCTACAATCGACGCAGGGACAGAACATCTCTGTAGGATTACCCAAATTACTTGATGCTCCAGAAACAAAATTCCTAGCACCAATCTCATACTCAAGGCTATTCCTAAGGTAAGAAAAAAAAAACAAAGATTAGTATCACAATTGAAACCATCTATGAAAATATCAGACAGTTGCATACCTTGGAAGCCAAGCCCATGCCTTGTCCATTTCACACCAATACGACCCAAGCTCCACCACCAATTATACATACATTTGTGATAATAACTTTAATTAATGATCAAACACTCACATAACTTGTCTATTCAGTCAATAAAACAACATCTGACACGAACAAAAAAAGATAGAAATAAAATCTTACACGAGTAGACAAGAAGTTTCAAGACTAGAAATCAAGATTCTGCAAAGATAAAAGGAGATGAAGTCTTAGAATCAGTACAAAACAATTCATTTAGGAACAGCTACAGACCCGTAATTACCTTGTAGTTCTTGTACTGAAATCTCTACGCAATTCTACAGAGCCGCTGATCCAACTACACATCAGAAATAACATCGATTCAACTCAGACAAACATCAATCGACAAACACAAATCGAATACATCAATCGAAAAGATCAATCGACAAAACCCAAACTCACATCAGAAAAATCGATTCAACACACATAAGAAAAAACGATTCAACTCACAGTTATTTGAAAAACAACAAAAACGGATCAAACCCATGAAATATTAACAAAATCAATGCGAATAACCCATGAAGAACCCATGAAGAACCCATGAAATCGATCGATTTACCTTCTGTATCAATTTACACCTAACCAAATTGATTTCGAATGAGATCGAGATCCAGAGGGATTTCGACAGAGAATGATTCAGACAGAGAAGGATTTAGAATGCGAGGGATCGAGAGAGTGGAACAGACAAGGAATCGAGTTTCAGATAGGGTTTCAAGACGAGAGAGAGGAATGTCGGGTTTGAGAGAGGAAGACGAGAGAAGAGAGAGTAATGAAATTAAAAACCTAATCTTTTTTTTTCTTTCTCTATCTTTATTTTTTGTTTTGGTACTTAGTGAAATTTTTGGAGCCAATGAAATTTTTGTTTCCCAGTTTAACATATAATAACGTTTATGCTATCATAGACCAAAGGAAAAAGCGCCACGACGAAATGTTTTTCGCGCTCATCCTACCATAGCGTTTCTATTTTCGAAAACGCTATTAATAGTTTCACAAAATTAATCTATAGCAGAAACATATAAAACGCTATAGTGTACTGCTATTAATACCCTCATTTCCTGTAGTGCTTCACAAAAAAATACTTAGATCGGGTTAAATAAAACTCAACTCATACACCGGATATTCTATATTTAATAATTTAGATATTTAGAAGATTTGATTAAGATTTAGAATTATGATTCTCCTATCATCTTTGTTTGATTTGTTTTTAACTGTTTTGAATCATCATATAATACATAAGTAAAAAAAAATCAATTTCTTTTTTTGCATATATTGTGATTCGAAATTTTAAAAATGGACATATATTATCCAATTGACGAAAATGTGTGTTCAACGTTCTACATCGATTAAAATATTTAGTCAATGATTCAGATTCATATCATAAATAAGATCAACACTAATAAAATAAATGAGTTTTCTGGCGGGACGGGTTTTTGAATCAACAATAATAAAAATATTAAAATATCATTAATCCGCCGCTTCAATACGGATTAAATCCTTAATTTTTTTTTAATACCACCAATATTAGACATATTAAATCAGTCTCATTTAGAAAAGATTATATAAAACCAAAAATTGTCCTCTAGTATAATGTTACTTAATAACAATTGTAAACTATAAAATATAAATATCTTAAAAAATTATAAAATTTGCATACTTTTATATATAATAAATAATCGTTAAATTTTAAAAATTACTACTTTTAGAAAACAAATCACGGGACGGATTAAGAAGTTACAGGACGGGTTATATTTCGGAACTAAGTTATATGGTGGACGAGTTTGAATCAATATTTATAAAATTTTAAAATATCATTAACATACCGCTTTAATACAAATTAAATCTTCAGTTTATTAAAATATAAATGTCTTAGAGAATGATATGATTTGTAAGCTTTTATATATAATAAATAATCACTAAATTTTAAAATAAAAATAAATCACGGGACGGGTTCAAAAATTACGGAACGAGTTATATTTTGGAACGGGTTTATATGGCGGACAAATTTGAATCAATATTTATAAATATCATTAACATGCCGCTTTAATACGGGTTAAATCCTCAGTTTATTAACAATTGTCTCGTGAACTCGTGGTATACCGTTACTTAATAACAATTGTAAACTATAATATAAATAAATATTTTATAGGGATATACAATTTACAAAATATTCTTATACTAACATTAAAAATAAATCATCCCGTGGTACACCGCGGGTTAAAATCTAGTTTATAGTGTTTTCGATCATTAATATTTGTTGGTTTTAAATGTTTATGTCTTTTGTATAAGAACCGGATACTATTACAGTAGTATTACTATACAGTAGCTGGTCTTTGGATCAGTAATGTACTTGTCTCTTTAGAAACCAGAGATTTTGACTTTTCTTGGCCAAAAAGGTATTCAACAATTCATATCAAAACCTAAACCACCCAAATCGGATTAAGTCCCAAAAATTTAATATACAAGTAATCATTAAGAGAAAAAAACATAAAAAAAAAAAAACCAATGCCATAATAACCTCCCCATTTCAACCACTTCACAATCCTAAAAAATGCAACAACTACACAAATCTTTTTCCTCCGTATTTATACACCAATTGATCAATCTCAAATCCTTCAAATCTTGCCTGCTAAACAAAACCAAGAATCATCCAAAACAAATATCCTCCAATATGATGAAACAATCACCATCCTCACTTTCAACATCAATCTTTCTCATAGTTGCTCTATTTACTG